CCCCCCCCCCCCAATCGAGTTTATCTTCAAAAGAACATTGTTTGTTTCCCTTCCACCACAAAAAGAAACTTTATTGAAAGTAAATGACTAAATTTGCTGAGTAATCAATAACAATCAATGCTAATGAGGTTTGTTTCGTCTAATTCAGAATTCTTCACGATGAGTGGCTATGCTTGTGGACAACCCGTCTTGTACTATCAATGCCAGTGCCCGTCGTTTTGCAGGTGAGTTTCGCATCACAGATAACTTTTGCTCTGGAGCCTTTAGCTTCGCTTCAGATCGTTTACTTTGAAAGGGTTATGAAGCACTGTGCTCCACCGGTGTTCTCGAAGAGAATTTGAGATCGATCGGAAAGCAAAATTGAAAAGCCTGAGAAGCCTGGAATATAAAAAATGATAGCAATAATCGAGATTTTCTTTTTTGCCTAAGTGTCTTTGGCTCTTTGGGAAACAAGAAGGTTGCCTTCGATCAGTAGGGTATCAATACGCGGCCACGTAGCATCAAAATGAAGCAGGAAATTCATTTCGTCGCTAACCACCTCTTCAGCATGGTCGACCACCACCATTGTAACATTGGCGCATGATTGGGGTAGAAGGCAGAAATCTCCTTCTAGAATTGAAAGTAAGTAACCGAAACTAGTCTCTTTGTCGCGAAACAGAAGATCAGAAGCTGCGAGTAGAAGAGAGATAATAGCAGTGCTCTGATTCCGAGGAGCCCTTTTCTGGAGTGGCTCTTGGCCTATTCCCTCGCAACTGTCAACTTCCCACCACCTATATGTCGCATCTCATGTGCTGGGCATTCCTCTCTTACCAGATTACCCAACTGCTTGATTTCCCTAACTAAATCCAGCTATACTCCCAGTTCGTTGCTCTCCAGTAGTCCTAAAAAACTAGGTCAACTAGTAACTAGCTAGTTCAAGTGGGCTTGCCGTAGGACTCACGGAAGTGTTTCAAGGGAAACACTGTATTACCCCACGTCTGTTGTCCCCCATTCTGGCTTTCGATATAGTCTCAGATTCTCCGTGACATTGGTATCATTAGTATCACAGCTTGGCTTAGGTTGCTACGGAGTCTATGTCATAAGAATTTACCTTGTAAGCTGTAGAATTTATGTAGGTATTGCTTAATATTTTTCCTTAACAACCCTACCCTTTATCAAAAATTACTCCCGCAGTGAATCCTAAAAGGAGTCTGCAGTTTCAGTCCCTACAGTGGAGGGAACGGGGGCTACAATGGTTATGATGTCGGTTCGTACTACTATCGTTCACGTCATAGGCCTCACCGACGAAGGCATCACAAAAAGAAAAAGTTCCGCTTTGAGACTCTGGAAGAAACAGAAGGTGAAGTAGACTTGCTAGTCAGGAGTAAACCTGCAGAATTGTATTGCTTATCAGAATCGTTGCAGAGGAGTTTCCCGAGCCACCAACGACAACTGAAAAATCGAAAAGCTCTTCCCATACCTGGGAAGATGAGGTCTGTTACACTGGTTTTTCCCGTACTTAGGTCAGAAAAATCTCCTGCAACTAACACATCTCGCCTACTTGTACCACTCCTGGGGCTGAAAAGTTGTTAAAAGCGTGCTTTTCAGGACATGTGGGAGAAGAAGTTTGTTAGTCCTAAGTCAAAGGAGAGGGGAGCTTCAGAAGAATTTCCAGATATCAGCAGTGCAGAGGTGAGTGCAGAGGTCTAAACAGGTGTTTAATCCGTAAAGCTCTATCTAGTCTGTGAACCAAAGTAAAAATATGGGTTTGTAGGAAAGCTCTTTGCCAAAGAATAGCCTGGAAATATTGTCTTTTCACATTAGGCTGACTATGAGAAATGGTAATTTCCGTACACACGCTTTGTTTTTGACCATTTTCAGTTCCCACTCAAGTTCACTGAAAAGACTGTCTGACAGGTGGCACCTTACATTTATTTCGCCCTAGTACGTTCAACCAAATAGATTGGATCTGAGGGAAGTTGAGTAAGATTGGATCGTCGATGGACATTACATGCCCAGGCATAACTGAAATGATAACCTTTCAATTGTATTCATCTCGCAATACTTTAAGGCAGATGAACAAGGAAACGCTCCTTTTATCAAGGGTAGAGGTGTATCATGAGCAGTAAATCAGGTGTTCGTGGGCTGTGATCAAAATGGTAAAGAAAGTATATTTGGCCAACTTTTTGGGTCCTATCGCTTTAGTCGATACTCCGAAAGTCAAAGACGGATCCAACAGTATCATCAGATATCATTGAAAGTACTCGATGCCATCTAACAGAAGTGAGGGTGAGGACTTTCCAGATAGCTGCCGCAAGAGCTCGAATAAAGTCAAAACAAGAGGAATCTGAAGTAGAGTCATCTGGTGGCAATGGAAGAGGATCTGGTTCATGTGAGCGCTTATTTTACTCCCAGTCCACGGAGGAGTTTTTCTGAGTTCTCATGCAGTCTATACGCTGAAATTCTTATCCAATAATCTTTCAAGTTTGAGACGAAGAAGAAAGTGTTTCAGTTTCGAGTGCAGAACGAGGACGAGGTGGCAATGGAGGTGGAGGAGTCGGTACTGGAAGTGGTGTTGGCGTGGGTGGGGTCGGCGTCCATTCAGGTTTAGGTATAGGTGCTCCAGGAATTGGCGGTTTAGGCGGTGAATGTTGATCATCCTTTTCTTTTTTAATTTACAAATTTTTTGCTAATCTCTCGTAACTTCAGGTAGCGGTGGAATCTTTGGCATTTCTTCCGGTATAGGTGTTGGAGTACCGGGAGTCGGACCAATAGGCGTTTCTAGCGGTCTGGGAATAGGACGATAAGACGCATGACGACAATGGCTATACTGTCTGGTAGTGTACATAACGAGTTCTATAGTTCCATTTGGAAATGTACATATCATTGTGAGGAATTCACTAATTGTACTGATACTATGTGTTAATTATAATGACTTCCTGCTGTATTTTCTCAAGTCTTATTTTTATTATTTGTACATTTGGGCCTAGTTACGTTACGCTGAGGACACATGGGCCCAATTCCGCTGTACATTGCTCAGGGATTGATATGTGTGCCATAATAGGGATTCGTTCCCAAGCATAAATGTGGTGTATCATTTATACAGCTCTACGTCCAACCAGAACGAATCATCCAATAGCAACCAGTATCCAACAGCAAATAGCACATTACTTATCCAACAGCTGTTATCACGAGAGTAGTAATGGAAAGAGATGGTGGGAAAATTTTCAAGAATGTAACCAACAAACAAATGAATAGGCGGATG